TTTCCTTCCTTCCTTCCTTCCTTCCTTCCTTCCTTCCTTCCTTCCTTCCTTCCTTCCTTCCTTTTGGATGAAGGCAACAGAATTTGCTGATGGATTATATAGTTGTGTGAGAGAAAGAGATGAGTCAAGGATGACTCAAGCTTCTTTGGCCTCCAATGGGGATGACTGGGTTTGGGAGAAGATCAGGAATTGGGTGTTTCTCCTGTTAACTTCCAGATGCCCGGTGGAGCATCCCGGCGGAGATGCTGAGTAGGCAGTCCTGAGGTCATAGCAGAGACCTGGGCTGGATACCGAGCCTTAGGAGCCATCAGAGCACAGGCGGTATTTAAAGCTGTTTCAGATGAGATCGTCAGGAGGTGGGTTATGGATGGAGAAGACTAAGGATTTTAAGGCGTTACAACTATTTACAGGTTAAAGAGAGGAGGTGAAGCCAATTGTGGAGACCGAAGAAGAGTGTCTCTTCTGTTTAAGACAACTTACCCCCTTCCTGTACTCTATCTCCTCCCCTCTCCTGGGAGCAAGAGTCATAGATCACCCTCCCATTTTCAACTTAATCCCTTTCTCCTGGTTTCTTCCCACCTCCTCAGAGACCTGCTCAGATGGCGCTCATCTTAAAAATAACCTGCCCTTGACTCCTAAGTGCTACATTGCTTTTATCCTATTTTTCTCTTTTCCTCCACAGATAAATGTTTCTTTCTTTCGATATTAATTAAATAAGTACTGTATGCTAGGCAAGAAGGATATAGACACAAAAAATAGAACTTTATCTACTTGAAAGAATATCTATTTATTTCTACCTTTTCTACTTCCATAAACCATTTTTGATAGCATTTTGGATGTATAATGGGACATAATATATATAATTGTAAAGCAAGCACAAAAATTCTGTACTAAAGAAAATACAATTTAGAATAGAAGAGCAAGCTCAGAAAAAATAAAATGCACACATAAAGGTCATCAGGTGTATAAGAATATAATTGAGCCACCAATCTGATCCCAACTTTCTGGTCAGAAAAAGGAAATTCTTTTAAAAATTTAACCATCCAGAAATTTTTCATACCATGATTACATGGATCCATACCTTTTACACTGAACATCCTCTTTCACCAGCACCCAGAGCAAGAAATGGGACATAATTCACACCCCAGGCTCTCCCTTTGTGGTTATTTCTAGTCAGTACTCTCCACAAGGGCCGACATGATCAATTTCCCCATTGCAAGCTTTCTGGGAATTACTTTTTGAGTTTCATTGCTCGTGAGATGATATGCGAGTTCCTCAAGGAAACATGTTTTCTGGAATTTAATTCTCAAAGAGTATTTTTTTTCCCCTGGGGTTTTATTTAAGAGACACTGAAAAAATGAGATAGACTATACCTTGGCTATTTCCATAGCATATTCTGGATGGCATATACACATATGTGTTTATGTAATGAAATATAAAATTAGAAACTAAAGATAAAAATGGGCAAAG